TGATCTGATAATCAGATGCATATTTTAGTCGCTATCAAATTTGGCTCAGACTTAATAGATCTGCAAAATAGACTAAATAGCAATGACAATTGTGTTTGTGTTTGACATTTATTGTGTTTACTTGAAACGGAAACCTAATTAACTAGGCTGTTAACTGGAATTCTAAGGTCTGCTGCTCCATAAAGGACATCATCTTGTCATTTAATTGTAACTTACATCATCTTCTAGCTGCATTAATTATCCAGTTATTAATTACTCATCGTCACTTTGTGAACTTTCAAAAGAAAGTTGCATTTACTCAGGTTTATCACCAGGGCAAATTGTTCTGTAACTGTTAGAAAAGAAAGCACAGTTGACAATTGTGTCAGTCAGCCTGTCAGTCATAGGCTTCTTCCTGTCCTGCCCTCAGTGAGGCTGGTCAGATGTTGGTTGTCAGATCTGAAAACTCAAGACTCCACATGTGGGACATCCAGATGTGTATCGACTGTAAGTTAAGCAACAAAGAACTTCTTCAGGATTGAACATCACAGCACCTTTTCAGATTGCATTTTTTAAACAGATAAATGCAGTGATGTTCAGCTGTTACCCAATGGGCCAAAGTCCCTCAGCGCTGTCAGTCATAAACCTCACCACACGTCAATGCTCCCTGTCAGTACAGTACTTTATTCCTCACCATGTACATTTTCTTTGTGCATTCTGTCAAACTAACTGTCCCCCACTTGGTTATTTTACCCATTTTATAACAATAATATGAAATGTTAATTAAAATCTTAATTATTATTATTATTTTATATTATCAATATGTTTGTTTATATCTATGTTTCTGATGTTTAAATGGGGGGGTTAATTTAATTAATAAATAGTATTTTTTTTGAGGGGCTGGAACGAATTAACTCTTTTTTAAATTATTTTTAATGGGGAAAATGGCAACACACGAGTGCTGTTGTGGATGGATTAAACTCGTATCTCGAAGCCCACCTGTACCTATTTGCTACCAGTATACCGAACCAGCCTACTTTGTACTAAATGAAATATTTTTCAATTAATGGAGAACTGCTAGTAATAGTAAAATGACAAAAAAACAAAACAAAAACAAAATACATGTGAAGCAAGTAAATAATAATGTAAGCTTTTTCTAGAAGAAATCCTTTGGAGAATGCCACATGAAAAAAAGACACAAAAATTAAACCTGTTAACCACAAATGCAATGCTAAATGCTAGAAGCTCTGCTACAAGATGGAGCACAATGGTGACTTGCAATCAATCCCAGAAATGTGGTTCAAGGACCTAATAGCTTACCTAAAGTGTCTCTGTGGTCATTCTGTAGGACAGTGTGATAAAGTCTGTCATTATAACTAACTAAATGAACTTCTTCATTGATTTAATAGTAAAGGAAATCTGGCAGAAAAGAGAATATATGTTACGTACTTGTCTTCATAATGGATTTTACATAACTCATGTCACGGGAAGACACTTTGAGCCAATGAGCATAGGTGACAGGAAGCAGAGGTTAATAATGTAAAACCGCTTGGAAAATCTACATGACATAAAATGTTCTCTAGTGGAGCATGAACTTCTTCACAGCTGAAAAGAATATTTTATATGAAAACCAATAATACAAGATCTGTCATGTTAGATGCAGGTTATTGACAGAAGAATAACAATTCAATTGACAGGTTTGCAATTTCCATGCAGCCTCACAGATTACTGGTTGTCGAGATGCCTATTGTTTATATATTATCTCTGTATATGCGTGGGTTTTCTGTTGGGACTTCAGTTCTTCCCACAGTCGAAAAACAGGATTTGGTTACGTGTTACCTCTAAATTGATACAAGCTGTGGAGGTGGATGTGAATGTTTTTTTGTGGCATATGGTTGTCTCCGCGTGTGAGGCTGTGATAGACTGGGGAAAGGTCCGAGTTGTACCTCACCCTCGACTCCAACTCCCATTGGGCTGAGAAAAGGATCAGTCAGTAGAAGATAAATTATTTAACATGTGGCATATATCAGGTCAATTTGCAAAACAGCCAATCTTATAATGTCTAACACAAGCTGAAGAGTTGATTGATTTTTTTATAAACAGGTAAATTTTTTGCATTTAATCTGTTAATCCAGGGCTGCTCCGGTGGTAGGAAATTACTTTTGCTTTGACCAATTTAAAAGGAGAAAATGTTTAGTTAATACATTGAAGTCGGCATAGTTATTTAATTCCTCAGATAAGCAAAATTGAATGGATTGTGTGAACTTGAAACAGTAGATCCAAAGTTGATTTGGCAGATGAGAACTTTATCATGGTTTTAAACTATTCTGGTGTAAAGACTATCACTGAACGATAAGAAAAACAAGAATAAAAATAAAACTTATCTGTAGTCTGCAGCACAGTTTTTAGATATTCTTTGTGTCATTTCAAGTGTTTTGAATAAATACGTTTATTTCAGTCCGCGTTTGACCTCTCTCTACCACTCAAGCCACGGTGTGGAGATAATTTATTCCTTCTATTGCAAGTGTAGGGTTCAGGTCCCCAATGTGACTTATTTGCACTGCAGAGGCATAACCAACAACAGTCCAATGTTCTGTCCAAGGACTCAAAGCTTCTTTAAATAATTAAAGGTGAAATCTGAAGAATATTGCTGTGCGTCTTTGAGAAATGCGAGCATGACTTTGAGAATGCAAAAAACTGGACTTGTGCAATCTGCAATAGGTACTTAAAAACCTTCATGAACCTCCTGTAAAGAAGACTCACTTTTTCTCGTGGACCCATTCCTGTCTTAGTCTATCAGGTAATCATAATCTTAACAGAGGGATTTAAACTTTTAACTGTGAGTTTTTTTTTTCACAGTGTGGTGTGTTGCTTTGGTTCTGTGCAGGGTAGAAAAGTTTGAGTGTTCTGGTGTTATGTATAATGGAAAAAAATAAACTTTATTCATGTCTATGAAGGACTTTATTCATGGAAAATCATCATTATTCTATTTTTCAAGTTGAGGCGAATCACTACTGCAAGTGCTGTTTTCATTAGGGAATTCATTTTTTGTTGAATTTTTTATTTTTTCATCCTTGCTCAGGGCGTTCTTTTAAAAATGACTTTTAGTTTTAGTAAAATGACGTACAATGGACCACGACTTGTGGACCAGCGCACTTACCTACTACCTTAAAAAACCGAACCCATGAAATATGTGGAGTTGCATGAATCACCGTTTACATGAACAAATTGTTTTACTGGGTTTAATTTAATGATTTTAACAGCAGAGAGGCAAAGTCTATTCTGAACGGCTATTTTGAATATAATTACCTGAACACATTGCAGACAGCAGGTGTTGTTGGTGCGGGTCACGAGGGCAGTGTCGTTCCGAGAGTTGAAAATTAGTGGTTTGCCAGTTCTGGTTGCGTAGCAACTTATGCGCACAGTCTAGCAGTGTTACAGAAGAGGCCAGAGAAAGGTGAGGTCTACAGGTCTGTAGCTCTGCAGCAGTGGAGCTGGACCAAGCAACTGGACAAATAAGAGCAGGGCAAATTCCTTTAGAGTGCTGTGAGAGGCAGCTCCGTCTGAACACAGGTGCACAGTAACACACATGTGGTTACCAACACAGCTAGAACTCCACTAGATGACACATAAGAAACACAACAATAAACCGCTCATTTTAGCAGTGTGTGCAGCAGAAAACAGACTGGTAAAGGTAATGTGTAGAATTGCATAAAAAAATTGTATCCACATTTTAGAAGAACCCAAGGTACAATAATATGTATGGGAAAGTACCAGCAATTGAGGAAGGTACCTATTGATTTATCAGGAAACATGGATCCCATAAACCATTTGCTTTTGTGCAGCTTCAGAGGATGCTCAGGTGTGTGATTTCTGCCTTATCGCATCACTTTTCATTCAATGAGGAGTTGCATTCAGTTTGTTTGTAACATATTGTGTTGGCTGGACAGTGTGAAGCTTTAAATTCTACCTTAACCACAGACATGACTGACTATGTATTGCAGGAATTCTATGTGTGGCAGGTAGATATTATTAAGCTATTCTGTACCAGTGTGACGCTAACGATATAGAGCCCTGTTTACCTGCAGCAGCTGCAGCGTGACTGCTAAGAAAAAACACAGGGGTATTGTCCGTAAAGACCAAAAAAGGCGATGCTTCAATCAGTCACTTAATGTGGAAAAGACTCGTGAATGTCACTGGTCAGATCTTCCAAGATCTTGGCCGACTGTACCCTCTGCCTTCTGTCTTCTCTCTCCTTCTGTCATTGATAAGTCATTTAAAACAGTGGTGAAAGTTATTAAATTGCAGATCCACCTAATTAACTGCCATTACTTCTAGGTACTGCAAAGATGTAATAAGTTGACTTTTTATGAAATTCTTAAGAATCTTTGCTTTTTAAAGTTCAAATGTCTCAGCACATCAGCCCCAGAGCCCCTGGATTCATCTGGAACCATATTTGATTATTCAGCATTCTCGATCAGAAGTCCTGTCCGGAACTCTTATGTCCGGAAATAATGAACATAATTAACAATAGTACATGATTGAAATACAAAAGCTCATCACATCAGAAGCAGTTTAAAGCTTGGCTTTAAAAGTTTATATTCTTTATAATGAGAGAGCAAAAGTTCTGCGTGTTTAATGAGTCATTCAAAACACAATTATTATCATTATTTATTTCTTCTGGTGACAGATGATTCAAAAATTCAATGCATGTACTAGTTCTGGCATTGCTTGGTCGTCTGGATAGTTGGACCTGCACTGTCTCTTAGTGCAGCTGAAACTTTCATCATGCACTCGTGCTCACTATTGTCTCAGCAGAATTTGTACTGAGACCACGACATTTTAGCCTATGTTAAATTTATATCACTTACAGTTTGGATATATACGTATATATATGTTTTACTAATTCATAAATCAATAACCTGGTTTTCATTCACTCTTTCACTCACCCAATGGCTGCTATGATTGTAGAGGATAAATGAATGAATAAATAGTTATGGCTGTTTTGATTTGTTTTATAGGCTGGGATGATTCGCACTGATTCAGACGAATACTTTATTGAGCCCCTGGAACGAGGCACCCAAGAGCAGGAGGAACAGGGCAGGGTCCATGTGGTGTACCGCAGATCATCCGTGCGCAATGTTCCCTCTGACATTTCAGCAGACTACCAGCTGCAAGGTAGGACAAACAAGCACTGCAGTGCACTCATACATCTCTGATGCCACTGTATCACTCACTGTGTAGCTGTTTTGGTCAGGTTTTGTAGATCTGCCTGTATGTTGTAAATAAATTGGATTCTCAAAAGCCAACAATTCAACGAAGATCAGAAAATTGTTGGAAATATCCAAACGTACTTTTGAAAAAGAAATTCGAGGATGCAGAAATAAAGCTATATTTATTACAACTTTAACATTCAAATTCTAATTGGCAACCGATTTATGTTAATGGTAAAAGCTGTAGATTGATTTTGTTATTGTTAACAACTATTGTTGTTGTTAATAGCTTCTATTCTGAGTATCCTTGAGTCTGGGGTTCTGTTCTTTAATGACAGCGTTTGACAACTACCATCCACATGAGAACACTCTTTAAAACTGTAAATATCAAATGCCTATGGCTTTGAGTGAGCCTTTCATTGTCATCTCATTGGGAAGCAGGAACCCTTAGCCGTGAAAGGCCAAGAGTCAAGAGTTGCAATTTAAATTGCATTGTGTACATGAACATGTATCACGAGCAGCGTGCAGCAATTCTCCGCTCTGACAGCTCTTTTGTACACAAACTGTTAATATAGAGAAAGCTTGACTTAATATGAAGCAGCACTGATTGCTTTGGTCACAGGGGGGTTGGCATCTGTGTGTGGGTTTGTGTCATGGTGATACAGTAAAAAAAAAGGACCACTTCCTCCAGTGAAGGGGGTAAAAAGAACAAGACGTTCATATTTTATAAAGAACAATCAATTCCTGAAAGAATTGGCCCCTTTTTTATTTTCATTGAAATCCACTTTCAATGAATGTGGTTGACAGAAATTGAGTGGATCTGTGGTGTACTTGGACAAGATACTCTTGGGCTCACATGCTTTTATTTCCTGTTACAGTGACAATGTCTACAAACAGGAAGTTCTAGGAAAGTGCTTTCGTGCTAAAATGACAGCACACCATGTCCATTACAAAATTCATGATTGTAACAACTAGCTAGATGATGAGCACAGCTGTGTATTAACTTGAATTAATGCTAATTTAAACATATGAAGCACGGTTGCCTGAAATGTTATATATTGAAATCAGTGCACAATTATACGTGTATGCTACATATTTGAGAATGAGAGACAGGCCATGGCTAATTGTAGCTATAAACTAGGTGTAGCTAATAGGTGGTCAGTGTTACAGAGCCACATAATTTACATGGGTACAAACAAACTGCCCCTCATCCCTTCTCCTCACTCTCTCACTCTCTCTTGTACACACACAAACCTCTGCTCTGCCAGATTTATTGTAAATGTCACACATTAACATGATAATGACAAAAATTGACTGCACAGAACAATGATTAACACTGTGTCTCACAAACAAACTCTCAATTCAATGTTTAGTTCATGTCTACGAACAAAACTATAATAATTTACGATAGCATTTTCTCTTACCATGCATGTTGTTTAGTGGGACTTCTGGCATTCCTTGCCCTCAACAGTCCTTTTCAAATCTGGTTTGTAGTCAGTTGTTGCCACTCTAAGCAGTTCCTTTACATGTCTGTCAGAAGACAGGAGATCGAGACGTTGATTTTATGTGGTTCAGGGCAGTAAAAACAGACTCTCAGAAGTATGTTGATCCAAACATTGACAGTATTTCAAGCGTAGTCCGTTTGGCATTTGGTCATTTTTTATTAACATACTTTTCCAGAATTCAATGGTCCCTTCTCTAAATGCAGGTTTCAGTTTGTCCTCTTCACAATGGTCGATCATCTCCAGGTCAGCCGCAGCTTCATCTTTGACTAGCAGGGTTTTCAAACAGTCCATCTTCATTTTGAGCACAAATTTGGTAGGCCCACACAACTCAATGATTTTCCATCTTCATTTGTGTCAACGCCCAAACATGTGAGATTTATGTACCGTAAAAAAAAAAAAAAACCAGCAACACAAAAGGCTCTTAGTCAATCTAGGCCAGGGGTCGGGAACCTTTTCAGCAGAGAGAGCCAAAAAAGTCACATATTTTAAAATGTATTTTTGTGAGAGCCATACAATTTTGTTTTTACTCTGAATACAACTGAATGTAAATAACGTTTCTGAAGTTATAAAAGTTATTTAAAAAAATATTAACGTTGTTATACTATCCAAACATAAAATATTTCTTACCATTAATGCGATTTCTGGTGCTCCATGGTTTTGATGCGATTGGCTCTAGGGCAAAAGAATAATGTTAAAATGTGTAGCAGAGCAATAAATATATGGTTCCACTTGCCATACAACAGAGTTTATTACACACCATATTAGAAAAATCTTAATTTATCGTACGGTCATTAAATGCAACACTGCTGCTGTTTTTTTTTTTTAATTTTTTACTTTATATTTTCAGCGCCAGACCTGTCTCTGTGTTTTGCTCTAAAATGGACTAACTTTATTTTCAGTTTTTATGTCAGAAATAAAAGATGACGTACCAAGCTGATGATTTTACCGCAATTATACTTAAAAAATTATATTTTCGCAAAGATATTACGGCAAATACACGTGAATGTTTTTCTTTTAAAAAGATTATTTTAACACTATGAGTTCTGTAACATTATGCTTGAATATCAGCTAAAATTATGTATTATTTATTGTGTTAAGAAGTAACTTAAAAAATTATATTTTCGCAAAGATATTACGGCAAATACACGTGAATGTTTTTCTTTTAAAAAGATTATTTTAACACTATGAGTTCTGTAACATTATGCTTGAATATCAGCTAAAATTATGTATTATTTATTGTGTTAAGAAGTACCAGCTAAGATTTATCTGAGAGCCAGATGCAGTTATCAAAAGAGCCACATCTGGCTCGTGAGCCATAGGTTCCTGGCCCCTGAACTAGGCTCTAAGTCAATCAATCAGTGTGGCTGTGTGCCCGTCATGTTACACAATGGTTGCATTTCCTTTGTGCTTTTATTGAGATTGATAACACATGTTATATCTAATTTTTAACCGTTAGAAACTACTGCCAGTTTTCTACTGATTTGTTGACACAGTATTAGCAGAGCGTTAAAGGCATTGTTGAGTCCTGCAGCAGCAGCAGCTTGATGTATATCTCCTTCTTCCCTAATTACCACTGTAATCCTCTTCACGTCACCTCCAGCTAAATGGTTTACTGAAATGATGGATTTTTTGGCAGCTTCATTACTCTAGGCTTCTAGTAAAGACAAGACTAGTGAAGTATTTAAGAATATTTATTTAAAAAAAAAACATTTGGCTTGATGGATTCTTGAATAGGGAATATTTTATTGAGATTATATTAACAATAGAAATACGAATACGATATAGAAGTACAATACAATAAAATCAAATTAAATCACAACAAAAGAAGCTCCCTTTTCCCCAGGAAATAACCTCCAGCAAAACCTGACTTGGTGTTTAGTCATGTGCCTCGGCAAAGAGAGAAAAGGGTGAATTGAGGGAGAAGGAATAGGAGGGAGGAAACAGAGAGAGTGAGCAGTACATCACTATGACCCATTCACAGAAAAAACACAGGCTGTTTAGAGTGTAAACAGCACAGTTGTAAGAACAGTTTTATCAGTAGTGTGAAATATTCTATAAGTAATTATAAGTAATTATGCCGATTCAATGAGTTATAAATAAGGGTTTCAGTGATGACAGCAGTTATTTGCAAAATGTGTGATTAATCAGTCTGGGGACTTTTAGACGATAAGTTTCCCTCCGTAAATCCAAAACTCCAGAAATTCAGTAATTTCCATTGGCAGCCATTCTCCCATACCAAAGTCAGAAAGTAAATTTGTACCAGAATACACCAAGGAATTGTACATCTTCATCACTGCAGGTGCTGCCACAGGCACTTTCTGTCTTAAAATTCAGTGAAGGAGATGAAGAGCAGTAGATGGAGAGGAAGAAAATGACAAATTAATACTGTACTCTGGAGTTTCCAATATGTGTGTAATCATCACATAGATTTACATGGGGACCCGGTGGAAATGTCTTCTTTCTGTTGTTTTCTGCAATAAACCATTTCCATAGTTTTGGTGCTGCCCCATCGTGGTTGTACGTCGGGTTTTCCCTGTAGTCCTCCTGAAATTTATTTATTTATTATAAGTATTTATTCTCAGCAGTTTCCCATGGTAATGCATGGGTGTGTTGTTGTATTTTCTTTTGCCACGGGTGACTCCTGAAGAAAAATGCAATTCATTGTTTCCCAGCGGCCAGTGGGTTTTTTGCTGTTATTTTTCTTCAACTGTGACACATGTCACAAGCATCAGAGTCGTAGCAGAGAAAAACCAAATTAACAGCTGTAACATTTATTAACTCTTACCATTGTGCCTCTATTTTTCCTAAACTGAACTGTGTTTTCTGTATTGCAGAAGTACTTCAACTAGAGGTGTAAAGTGGCTACGAACCATGTAATGCCCAGGTGTGTTATTGAATCTGCTGGTGAAACAGCATTTTGTACAAATCTAGTTGTCTGATTTATTCAACTGACCAAGGGCTTATGCTCAGACAGCTGTATAATATCACAACAATTTAAATGTCTCTCAAAAGCATAGTGTCTGCTTAAATTATTGAAATGTATTTATATTCTGCTGCAAAATAGGTTTTATTTGAAGATTTTCTAAAGTGTTTGTTCTTATTGACTCTTTATCTTCCTTCTCCATAGCTTTTAATTGCCATATATCTATATACTTACTCATTAAAATGAGTGATTTGTGTTTAAGGAATGTTCCACTTATCAAAATGAATTTCAAGCTATTTCATGTCGGACATGATTTTAAGCATACATGTTCAAAAGAGTACAACTTTCCTCAGTTCCCCGCAGCTCTGATCCTGTCTTCCCCTAGTGGCACAGCATGGCGTTAATGCTTTATCTAATTATATTTCCCCGAAACTGCTTCTCCTTGCAGCTCCTAACTTGTCAAATCTGTAATCACTGTCAGACTCTCTGTATGTCAACTGTAAAGCTTGAGGGCTATGTCAGTGCTGAGTCATTGCC